ATAAAGTGATTCTTTATATATAGCCTTTAAATCAGCTAGTAGAGCACTTTAGGATCTTCAGATGAAAGCTTCTATATAAATATCAGTCATTATTATTATCACATTGCAGGAAAGCACTGGGAAACAAATATTTCCTCAAAAACCAATTCTCCAGGCTCATGGCCCTGGACATTCAGGTAGAACTGCGGTGATGTGTCTAGTAGGAAGGCTTAGATAAAATAGATAATATGCTAACTATCCTCAGTCTAAAGGAGTTCTTCCCTTCCCAAACTGTTCCCTTTTTCCATTTGCAATTTGTATTTGTCACCTTTTGTGTCACAGCATAGCACCATCCCAACTATTAACAAATCTTGAAAATTCCCCAAAAGACTAGAAAATTGGTTAACTAATTTCCTGTGTCCTACTTCCACGCCCCCTCCTCTACTCACACAAACATCAAACCAGTGCCTTTCCTCCTCTACAATTTGCACATAAGTAAGGCTGCGTGTCTGTCACAGAGGTCACGGATTGCGTAACTTTCTGTGACCTCCATGACTTATGCAGCAGCTGGTGTGGCTGGCTCCAGGGCTGCCCGAGCAGATCAGGCAGCCCCTGGGCCAGCCGCACCGGCCGCTGCTGGGGCAGTTTGGGTGTGGGATGGGGCTCAGGGCTGGGGCAGGGGATTGGGGGGCAGGGTGGTGCTTACCTGGGCGGGGGAGGCTCCCTGAAAGTGGTCAGCAAGTCTCTGCAGCTCCTGGGTGGAGGGGCCAGGGAGCTCTGTGCGCTGCCCACAGGCATCGCCTCTGCAGCTCCCATTGGCTGCAGTTCCTGGCCAATGGGAGCTGCAGAGCAGGAGTTTGTGGCAGGGGAAGCACATGGAGCCCCCCTGGCCTTCCCTCCCCCAGGAGCTGGAGGGACATGCAAAACTGGAGCCTGCCAGCCCTGCCCCCACTCCACCCCTTCCCCCAAGCCCCCGTCCCACCTCTTCCCGCCCCTACTCCCCCCATTCCACCCCTTCCCCCAAGCCCCCATTCCACCTCTTTCCAGCTTCTGCCTCCTCCCCTGAGCGATGCCAGGAGCCGGCGGGGCAGGCTGGGGCTGGGTTGCTTGTTGCTGCCAGCGCCAGGCCCCCTGCTAAACTCCCAGGCCGCCCTGGACCCCACATCCCGAAGCACAGGGCCCCCCCAAAGCACAGAGCCCAGGGTGGTTGCCCTGGTCCATCCCGGCTCTGGTCACCAGCAAAGGTGAAAAACAGGTTTCCTGTCAGAGAAGAGCTGTATATCTATCTACCTGTTTACATGTGAAATGAGTACGGTAACTCCTCACTTTAAGTCATCCTGGTTAACGTTGTTTCGTTGCTACGTTGCTGATCAATTAGGGAACGTGCTCATTTAAAGTTGTGCAATGCTCCACTCTTACGTTGTTTGGCTGCCTGCTTTCTCCATAGCTGGCAGCCTCCCTATGCCTCTTCCCCCCCCCCCCATCCGCTGGCAGACCCCGTGGATCAGCGCCTTCCCCTTCCTCCCCCGCCTCCTGCCCACGGCAATCAGCTGGTTTGCGGCGTTTAGGGGGCAGGAGGGAGGGGGGAGGAGCGAGGACTTGGCGCGCAGGCTCCCACTCCCTCCCCTGTCTCCCGAATGCCGCAAGCCAGCTGATTGCCCCAGGGAGGAGAGAGGGGGAGCCTGCGCACCGAGTCCTCACTCCTCCCCCCTCCCTCCTGCCCCCTACACACCGCAAGCCAGCTGATTGCCCCAGGCTAGGAGGGGAGGGAGGGGGAGCCTGCGTGCCAAGTTCTCGCTCCTCCCCCCATCCCTCCTGCCCCCTAAACGCCGCAAGCCAGCTGATTGCCCCGGCAGGAGGGAGCGGGGAGGAGCAAGGACTCGGCGTGCCTCCCCCCTCCCTCCTGTCCGCGGCAGTCAGCTGGCTTGTGGCATTTTGGGGGCAGGTGGGAGGAGTGAGGACTCAGAGTGCAAGCTCCCCCTCCCTCCTGCCCCAGGCAATCAGCTGGCTTGCGGCGTTTAGAAGGGAGGGAGGGGGGAGGAGCGAGGATGCAGTGTGGGAAGTAAAGGGGGACAAGGTGGGGAGAAGAGGCAGGTCAAGGGTGGGGGCTTGGAGGAAGGGGGGAGTGGGTGGGCTGAGGGTTGAACCCCCTGCCCCTGGTGCTTGCAGAGTAGGGGAAGCTGCCGCTGCTTCTCAACGTGCTTCTCCTAGCCTACAGCACCTTCAGCCTCCTTGCCTGCCTCATCTCCAGTGCCAGTGGGCTGTGCCTGTGTAGGGTAAGGCAGGGGCACCTCCCAACTATAGTACTGTACCTGTATTAAACTGCTTGTTTAAAATTGTTTAAAACTTATACCTGTATTAAATTGCTTGTTTAAAATGTACATAATGCCTTTTGTCTGGCAAACATTTTTTTCCCTGGAACCTAATCCCCCCTCTTTACATTAATTCTTATGGGGAAATTGGATTTGCTTAACATCGTTTCACTTAAAGTCGCATTTTTCAGGAACATAACTACAACATTAAGTGAGGAGTTACTGTATTGTCTTGTTCACAGTGGGTCTCCCAACACTAGTCTGAACTGAATGCAAATAAAGGTTTGTGGGGACATCAGAAAGAAACTAACAGAGAAAAACAGCTTGGGGGAGAGAATCTTATCTGGTGGTACAGATCAAAGATCTGGCTGAGTATACGTGGGCAATAGAGAAGACACTCAGGCAGCCTTCACTAAGGAAGTAAGAGAAAGACAGCAGTTGTGCTTCATGAAAAAGGGGTCTCAACCAGCTTTGGTTGAAAATGCTGAAGAGAACTTTGAGTGAGATAAACTTCTTTAGAGGTTAAACTGTTACTTAAGTTTAGTTTCTAGAAAGCAAGTTATGATTTTGCTTTATATGTAGCCATTTGTTTCCAATATTCTTATTCACTATTACTTGAATCTCTGTTATGATAATATAGTTATAGTGAAAACAAGAATAAATTTAACTAAGCAATAGTCCTAAACTGAATCTTACAAGCTTGAGTGTACTGTTCCTTTGGGAACAGCAGGCCTGATGATTGTGTGAGTGTTCAGTGGATAAGGGGTTGGATGCTGCAGAGAATGCTCTGAGTATTCAGGGGTTGGTGTGTGCCTATCACTACCTGTACAGAGAGAGCAAGGCCTGGAAAGTAATGTTTTGCTGCTAGAGGCTGGTGGTTTCAGGGCACAGACCCACAACAGGCGCAGACCAAACTATTTTGTGCTAAGGGCAGGCAGTGGTGAAGTGCCTCACAACCCTGGGTACTATCACAGGAGAGCATATGAGGGGATCTGCAAAGGCTGGCACTTCCAAATGCAGATGACCCCTGGATTCTTTTTGTTTAGATTAAAAGTTAATATAAGTTACTCTTCCCTTGCAAATATTTAAAGAGCCTTAATATTTAACTTAGTTAACATTTGCTATTATCAGGGTTTTCAAGTGCTGTGTGTTGCCATGTGTCATGGACTCACAGGTCATGCCCACTCTTGGTCCCGTACAGTCCCTGAAGGGAATCCCCTTCAGTGTGACAGCCCTTTTCAGGGGTCCACTCTCTCTTGGGGGTTAAGCCCCTCCACCTCTTGGAACTGCTCCTCTCTGAGCCTTTAGCATGCCTGTCTCTTGCCGTGGGCCCCTTCAGGGAGTCCACTCGCTCTGGAACCCCAGGGCCTCCACTCCCAGAGGGAATAATGCAATCCTGTTCTCTAGACCAGAGCGACTCTCATCCAGCGTAAAACAGGAGGGTTTACTGAGCATCTGAACACAGCAGAGGAAACTCTCTGGGGCCTCAGGCCTGGCCTCCCTCAGCACAGTACATCTAAATCGCTCCTACATCCAGGTGGGCTCTCCTTCTCTCCATCTCCAGCCCAGAGACCTCCTGCTTTCCAACGGGGCATCCGATATCACCTGCCCCCAACCTCCGCCTCTGTCCTTTGTCTTCTGTCCAGGTAAACAGGGTCGCCTGGGCCTCCTCTCCTCTCAGCCATCCTTTGTTCCCCACTGGCTGGAACCAGCTGGTCAGGTCACTGGGGTCCTCTCTCTGCAGCCCATTGTCCTCCCATTGGCCAGAACTGGCTGTGTCAGCCAAGCTGGGCCTCCTGGTCACTAGGTCACCAGTCACTGGGGTATTCATTCTCCTGGCCATTGGCTGGGGTCCCAAGTTCTGTCGCTGGGCCTCTGTAACAACAAACACCCTCTCCCATCACCTCGTTAAACCAGTAACACCCAGGGAAACCGAGTCCCACCCCCTCTGCATGCAAACCCCTGAAAAAAACAAGAAAATCCCCCACTTTGTCACACCATGTCTTGTAGGAGACAAACAAAAGACTCTAAAAGTCATAGTTTTGATCTATTAAGACATTTGTAACAGTCACTGGACTCTGTAATCAGTCTTCTCATGGGAACAAAATGCTTACACATAATTCATTTCACAATAACACCTCAAAGCAGAAAGCATGGCCAGTAGTTATTTACTCTGGTGGGAATAATGAGGTTTAAACAGGATGGCCTCTTGGTACTTACTAAAGGAACTATCCTTTATTCATACCCACTGTTCCTTGTCCCAGATTGGTGTTTAAATGGAGGCTGGTACATTGCCTCCTTATTTTGTCTGAGCTGTCCTTTGTGTGGTAGATTGATTCTCTCTGGCTCTGGGATGATTTTCCAGTGATAACCTGGGGCTCAAAGCCAAGTTGAGGACTAGGTTAATCATTACTGTTTCTGGCTGCTGTGTGGTGTCTTTTTGCTATTAAAAATGATACACATCATGAGATGCATGACATTTTCTGTAAACTGTGATGCTCCCTCTTTTCCTCCCCTGCCCATACTGTGGGTTTGCTTACTGGGCATCTTCAAAGTTCTTAAGTGTATGGTGGTGCTACCCCTAGGGTGCTGTGAGTGGCAGGTTGGTGGGGCCCTGGGGGCCAAGCTGGCACTGCTCCTGCCCAGGCTGCAGCCAGGGTGCGAACGTCCCGTGACCCCACCAGGCCTCACACGTCCAACCCCACAGCAGGCCCCTCACTAGCAAGGGAACGCGCCAAAACCCCTCTGAGGGGAAGAGGCGGGGGCGTGTCTCGCGGTCCAAGGGTCCCATTTGGGGGGGCGTGTCCGGGCTGGCCGCCAGGGGGGGTGTAACGGTCACTTAGCCTTAGAGGTGAAGGTAAGCTGGTGCGCCCCAGTACGGCGAGGCGGCAATTTAAAGGGCCTGGGGCTCCCAGCAGCGGCTGGAGCCCTGGGGTAGCGGCAGCGGGGCTCCGGGGGTAATGCAAAGGGCTGGGCTCCCGCTGCCTCTACTGCCCCGGGCCCTTTAAATAGCCGCCGCTACCCCCAAGGCCCCGGGGGCTACTTAAAGGGCTGGGGCGGTAGAAGCAGGGCTGGGGTAGCAGCAGCAGCCGGGGGCTCCGGTTTAAAGGCGCCGGGGCAGTAGCGGCGGCCGAGCCCTGGGACCTTTAAAGCGCGGCTGGAGCCCCTGGCTGCTGCTACCCCGGTGCGGGGCCTGGCTCTGACCCCCTTTCGCCCGGGGCCCAACCCCGGCCCCCACCCAGCCCCCTACAGGTAACTCCCTATGTCCACTTTCACCCCTGCTCAGCCTGCCCGGTCCCGTGCAGTCCGCTCAGCTGTCGGCCACCGCTGCCTCGCTCGTCCTCGGCGCCGCCATGGCGGGGGGTCTAGATTCGCTGGAGAAATGCCTGGAGCGGCACCTCCCCCCCGAGGAGCTCGGCGAAGTGAAGCGGATCCTCTACGGGAACCTGAGCAGGTGCGGGAGGACTACAGCTCCCAGCAGCCCCTGCGCGGGCGTTGCTGTGGGATTGAGGGGGCTGTGGGGGGCGCCTTAGCTCGGGCGGCCTTTGGGGGTAACCTATCTTAGGGGGCGCGGCCATTGCTGGAGGCCTTTGGGGCGCAGGTTCGCCCGAGGCGCGGCGCCCTTGCCGTGTCCAGCTGCTGTTGCCCGTCCTGGCGGTTGGCAGGCGCGCGGCGCTCGGGCTGCCTGCGGGGGTGGGGGGCGCGGGCTGTCCCGCGCGCGCCGTTGATTCCGCTCTTTTGCCGTTTCAGAAAACTTGCCTTGCCGGCTGCGGCGCTGTCGGCCGCGAGCCAGAGGGCGTTTGAGCTGCAGGGCTGTGGATTTGGAGCTGCGCCCGAGCAGCTGAGGCAGCCCCGTGTTGTTCGCGTGGGGCTGGTTCAGAATAAAATCCCCCTGCCCACAGACACGCCCGTGGCGGAACAGGTACAGTCACCTGCAAAGGGGGCTCTGGGTCAGCGGCTACAGCTCGTCTGCTGGCTCAACTCCTGTCACATGAGCCAGCCTGGCAGCTTCAATTCCTAAAACTCGGGCACTGAAGTCAGGGGCTCTTGAGCGCCTGTCTTCACAACCGCCCCACATTGGCCCAGCTGCCACGTCTGGTAAAGACACACTATGTGGCAGGAGCGCGCTCTCCCCTGGAGGTAATTGCTCCACCCCAATCATAGACTGTCAGGGTTGGAAGGGACCTCAGGAGGTATCTAGTCCAACCCCCTGCTCAAAGCAGCACCAATCGCCAGACAGATTTTTTTTTACCCCAGTCCCCTAGAAGCTATCTAGGCGGGAGATAGGTTTGCCAACTTTGGTTGGTCCTGTTCCTGGAGGTTTTGTCACGTAACAATCTTTTAATTAATCTTTAATTCCTGGAGACTCCAGGACAATCTTGGAGGGTTGGCAACCCTAGAGGAGAGCATCACATCACACCCCTGAGCGGTGTAAATTATGACTGTAAAAAGAGGTCGTGTAAACAAGCTGTTAAGACTGAGAGGCTGGTCTTGTGTCTCATTACAACAGTATGTAACCCCTTAACACTTCTTTGTCCAGTGATTGCAGAGGTGATAATTGTGCACATCATCCTGAATGGTCTCTTGCAACATGTGTTAATTCCTCATATTTATCAGTCTGTTCTACCTTGTACTGAGCTGTGGCACTCTGAGCTGAGGTCTATGTTACAGACTACGTTGCTTAGGGGTGTGAAAATCCACACCCTTGAGTGATACTGATCTACAATTTCCCCCCCACCCCGTGTAGACAGTACTGTGTTGATGGGAGAGCTCAAGGAGGTGGATTAACTACGCTGCTCTCTCGTAGGCGTAGGAACATCTTGGCTACACTTGCAGCTGTACAGTGCTGTGAGGTAAACCTGTCTTCCTACAGCTGAGTAGGGAAAAGCGCTGCAGTCTGTCCACACTGCCAGCTGCCAGCACATTTGCAGCTGTGTTGGGAGCGGTGCATTATGGGCAGAAACAACAAGGAGTCTGGTGGCACCTTAAAGACTAACAGATTTATTTGGGCAATGCCCAAATAAATCTGTTAGTCTTTAAGGTGCCACCAGACTCCTTGTTGTTTCTGTAGATACAGACTAACATGGCTACCCCCTGATACTTGACATTATGGGCAGCTATCCCAGCATTCATGTGGCTGCAACGTGCTTTTCAAAACGGGGTGGGGTGGATTGTGACAGGGAGTGTGGGGGGAGAGTGAGTGCTTTTTGGAGCATGTCAGCTCTCTATTTTGCAAGTTCCGAACTCCCGGCCCCCTGCTCATTCATTTACTCACTCAAAGCAAGCTGCAAACTGTTTGCTTTTCTCTGTAGTATGAGCTTTGAAACCGGCACTTCCGCATTCCTGCAGCCCACAACAATGGAAAGGATTGGCCACTTGACAAGGTGATTAGTACAGCGCTGCAAGTGTTTACACTCACACCCGTGAGTCGTAGCCACTCCGCTGCAGCTGTTATTCCTCTTGGAGATGTGGAGTACCTGCAGTGGTGTACCCAGGGAGATACAGCACTGTAAGTGCCCTGCCAGTGTGGACGGGGCGTGAGTTACAGCGCTGGGGGAGGCTTTACAGCGCTGTAACTTGCAAGTGTAGCCAAGGCCTAAAACGCTACCGCGGCATAGCTGAATTACTGTATGTGAGAACAAGCCCTGAGTACCTTTCCCAGACCTCTGCGTCTCTCAAAGCTTGTCTCATTCACCAACAGAAGTTGTTCCAGTAAAAGATATTACCTCACCCTTGTCTTTCACATGTCACACTATCAGTTGTGCATTTCTTGTGTTGTCCGCTATCAGTTTTAGGGCCTATGTTACCTAATGGCCTTGGATTTGACTTGTTGAATGGTAAATTGCCAAGAAGTCTTGTGACTCAAAGTAGAACACGCAGCTCCATCAGAAAATCTCATTTCTATTGTTTACTTGTTGATTCGCCCAACCTATTTGTAGTTTTCTTGAAGCTAAATATTTAGTTGTTGGCTTTCTAAGCTAAAAGCCTTTACCTGTCAAATAAACCAGAAAAGTCTCATGTTCAGAGAATTGAAGTTGGTGACTGCAGAATGCAGGGTTGGTGATTTGTATAAATTCTACGCTCTAAAACTCTTTATACCGCAGTAAGTCAAAGGTTTGAGGGGAGTCTTTCACCAGATGAACACTGGTGTGTCTGTGATACAAGATGCACACCTTCAGGTGCAAGTTTTATGTAAATCTATAAAGTCTTTTTAAAAGCAAAATGAAGGTGAATTTCACATTTGTGAAATATGCTGGACTGATAGTCCAGTTTATCCACAGGGCAGAAAGTTCACTCAGACACTGTGTTTTGGAGAGAGAGAAAGTAGCTCATTCTCTGTGTTAGTCAAGTTCTTCCTTTATCTGTGCGGTCTGCCAAAAAGTGCCAGTTGCTGCCATTTGTTATGTGGATACCTCTCCACTAGAAACTGGCCCGAGACCACCAAGTCATTGTGCATAACGTATCCATCTCAAATCCAACCCAGACTGATACCGACCAAACAGATATAACAGCTGTGTAGCGTTATGCACAATGACTTGGTGGTCTCGGGCCAGTTTCTAGTGGAGAGGTATCCACATAACAAATGGCAGCAACTGGCACTCTATATATATGAATGGCTCCAAATCTCATTGCCACTGCCCCTATGCCTCCTTGTAACTAGAGTTCTCCAGTGAGAAGAGTTCCTGTGTAAAGATTTTTAACTAATTAAAGAAAAATACAAACTGTCCCTCACTGGTGCACTGCTTGGTTCTTCTTAGGGATGCACTAAAACATGCTTTGAGGGTAATAACGTGTATATTGCTGATTGAAGCATGTTTACTAACTCTGTGTGTGTGCGCATGCGCATTTCAAGCCTCAGAGGATGAGCTTCTCTCATTAGACCCAGAGCATATGCCAAAAGGAGGAGCTTGTCTGCATTTCAGAAGTAGCCAGTCCATGGCCATCCCTGCCCCCGATCATCCCATCTCTTCTTTATCCAAACATAAGCAACTGTCCTACGGATAACCATAGGGCCGATGGCCTAACTTCTAGTCAAAGAACTTCTGGTCGAAGTTGTCAGATGTATGGGGCTCAAGAGTGAAGCAACATATTGCTCCAACAAGCATTTTGTCAGTTCACAATGGCTAGCTCCAGGGCTGGTATTTTAGGGGAAGTTCTGGAATCTACATGTGCTTGTAGGAGGTACAGCTCTCTCTAACCTCTGGTGGTGGTATGCTTACTCATTCACATTGCTAAGTGTCACATCTCAAAACAGCATCAGCAAGGTTTTTTGTGTGTGGCTCTTTTAAGGTTTATAGATCTCTAATGCACGTGTAGGGACTAAAGGCCAGTTTTTTAACTGTATCTAGAATAGAATGCCTAAAGATGCAGATATGTGCTTTTGAAAATCCCATTAGGCACCTATCTGAATGTTTAGGCACCTAAATACCTTTAAAAATGTCCTAACACTTTAGGGCCTAATTCTGCAACCATTGCTTGTGTTGAGCAGTAACTTACCCTAGAAGTATTCTCACTGAAATTAATGGGGTGAAGTGCCAAGCAAGGTACTACTTGGTGTGAAAGGTGGCAGAACCAAAACCTTAATGTTACAAGTGAATTATGATGTATGAGTTTTTTTATAGAGTCAGATTTCTTACAACCAGGTGGCCGCACTGCACAGGCGAATAGAGGAGATTGTGGAGGTGGCTGCAATGTGTGGGGTCAATGTGATCTGCTTTCAAGAGGCTTGGAGTGAGTATTTTCTGTAGCCTCCCCAAGTCCAGATTCTTTGCCTTTAAAATGCTTAAATTTCTGAAAATAGCCAATTCCTCTCCATTTAACAGGTACCCTATATTTTAAAAATGTTCCACCGCAACTATGAAACAGGATACAATCCACTGATCGTAATCTTTATTTTCTGAAAGAAACTTAAAAGAATCCTTGTTAACAGAGCTGTGTGTAGGTCCCATGTAGGTCTGCAAAGGCAGGGCCTGCATCTCGGCGATGCTTTTAGTTATGCTTACTGTGTGTTCTTTCACCTACTCTTCCCCTTTTCTTCCTTGGAAGTTTTGTTTGATTTAGGAAGCTTCTCAATAGCAGAAAAATAATATTTAAATTAAAATGGAGGATGTGTGGGGTTAGGACTGTGGCCAAAACCAAAATTGAAGGACCTCTTGTGAGACTGTTGGGGGAAATACGTCTTAGTCATTAATTTGTAGGTTTCTTCCTCAGACACTCCTTCAGGGGATCCTCTGCCTCGTGTGAGATAGTGGGTAATCTTCCCCTCTCATTTCACCTATACTAATTTCATCCTCCTGATCTCTAATCATAACCACCTCTCTTCTGGCCAGCCAATCCTCCCATTTCAAATTAGTAGGGACTCAGCCTGGCTTCTTAATTGAACAAATGTTGGTTGATGACAAGGTGCTGTCTTTGCTCCATAGTGTTGAGTGATAGTGTGACACTTCTTGTCCTTCCTGGGCTGGTTGTGTGGCACTTCTTGTCCTTCCTGGGCTGTGGAGTAAGAGGAATTTAGATCCTGGTCTGCTGCATATAGAGCACTGGAACTATACGTGGCTGGTCTTGTCACGGTGTCTCTGTGAGAATGCAGCCTAGAAAATCTAAAGTTTAGAGACCCCTAAATGACACATTCTCAAGAATCAAACTCCTTTGTACAGGGAGAAGGAGATAGCAGTACCATACTCAGATGTGGTAATTATTTCTCAGTTTTCACAAAAGCAACTTCTGAACACATTTCATTGACCTGTTTTATATGAGTAAAGCAGAACCCATCCCATACCAGCTCAGTGATCTGAAGCCTTTGTATTGACTTCTCATGTTGGTATTTTTCTAGCTATGCCCTTTGCATTCTGTACAAGAGAGAAGCTTCCATGGACTGAATTTGCTGAGTCAGCAGAGGATGGTCTGACAACAAGGTTTTGCCAGAAGGTAAAAAGCTGAATTCATACCATTGTGTAGTGATCACTTTTTGTATATCAGTCTTATATGTTGTAAGAATTAAAGAACCAAAAATAATTTTCCAGCACATTCAAAGCATGTATTGTGAGAGCTAGTGAAAATGCAAATGGACAACAACACATGTGCAATATGAAACAGTTTTTAAAAAATCTTACTTTACATTTATATAGTGCCTTTTACCCTGTAGGATATGTGAGACTTCCTATCCTGATTTTTTCCATATTTTTACAAGAAGAAAATAAGCTTCACAGCCAGTCACCTTTAACTTCTAGCCAAGAAATTCCTTTTGAATGGAACAGACTATGCATTAGCAAAGCATTACACAAAGAATATTAACTGATGAGTTAACTAATGTTCTGAAAAGGAAACACTTTCATATGATTTTTCTACATCCTTCTTCTGACATGTAACACAGAATGCCGCTTTCTGTGCACTAGAGGTGACCTTTTATTAGCTGGCAGTCATTCGGCCAGGGATCGCTAAGTGAAAGAATGATTGTGGGATAATTTTCACCTTCTGCCATTTTAAATAGTCTACAGCTCTTTTGTTTTATAAGGGACGTTGTATTTTTCTTTATTAAATGATTCACTGACATGATCAGGTTTGTTGTGGGCCTGAATCTATCCAGATGTGATCTGACCTACTAAGCATGTATGTGTAACGACCTTATAGCTTCAGTCTGACCTAGGCCAAGTGTGGGGCACTTCTCAATGTGGGGTTAATGACCTAAGGGCAGATTCTGCAAGAAATATTCAGACTTATGGAAAAGTAAAATGACATGAGGGGAAAGAAGAGAAAATGTCATTTAACCAAAGATTAAATAACTTATCAGTACTAAAATTTAGTGCAAAATATTCTTGCTAGAATATTAAAAGGTACTGTGATGCTATGATTCCTGTGGATAAGGCAGCACCTATACTTTTTAACATAAATGCATTTACATGTGTAAATCCACTACATACTGTATAACTACAGTAACTCGTTGATCAAAGGCTTTCTTATATTTGATCTATTGCAATAAAGAGCAATTTAGGCACAGGAGCCAGCAAACAGAGCTGTAAACAGGGGAATTTGAGTAGGCGTTCTTAAGGGGAGTTTGGGAGGAAGACTAGGAAAACCAGGCAGAGGAACAGACAGGCTAGTGAAGGGAGTGTGTGGTGTTCTGGCAGCGTTGTGGTGCTCGTGGGAGTTTTGTTTTGCTGTGGGTGGTGGTGGTTTGGTTTGGTTCCTGTTTCCCGGACCAACAGGACTTAGGTGGGAAGGCTATGACAGATACAGAGGCAGCAGTGGTAGTGACCCAAGCTAGGGTTACCATATCCAGCAAATAAAAAAAGAGGACCCTCCACGGGCCCTGGCCCCGCCCATTTCCCCGGCCCCGCCCATTTCCCCGGCCCCGCCCCAACTCCGCCCCTTCCTGCCCTAACTCCGCCCCCTCCTCCCAGCCACGAGGAAAGGGCTGCCCCAGCGCTACCGGCTTCACGGTTTGCCGGGCAGCCCCCAGACCCTGCGCCCCCCGGCCGGCGCTTCCCCAGCACAGCTGGAGCCCGGGAGGGGAAGCGCCCAGGCGGGGGTGCAGGGTCTGGAGGCTACCCAGCAAACCGTGAAGCCGGTAGCGCTTGGGCTTCGGGCAGCCCCCTTTCCTCCAGAGAGGCTCTGCTCCTCCCCTGACTCTTCAGCTCTGTTTAAGAGCCGAGCTGCCCCAGTGCTACCGGCTTTGGGCAGCCCCCATGCCTCCGGACCCTGCGCCGCCGGAGCCCGGGAGGGGAAGCGCCCAGGCGGGGGTGCAGGGTCTGGAGGCTACCCAGCAAACCGTGAAGCCGGTAGCGCTTGGGCTTCGGGCAGCCCCCTTTCCTCCAGAGAGGCTCTGCTCCTCCCCTGACTCTTCAGCTCTGTTTAAGAGCCGAGCTGCCCCAGTGCTACCGGCTTTGGGCAGCCCCCATGCCTCCGGACCCTGCGCCGCCGGAGCCCGGGAGGGGAAGTGCCCGGCGGCGCAGGGTTTCCCGGACATGTTCGGCTTTTTGGCAATTCCCCCCCGGACGGGGGTTTGAGTGCCGAAAAGCCGGACATGTCCCGGAAAAAGAGGACGTATGGTAACCCTACCCAAGCAGTGGAAGACACAATGAAGATGACTGGATGTGGAAGCTGTGGTATCTACATGATCCTGGAGGGGGTACCTGAAAAGAGTTCATGCAGACAAAAGTGTTGCTTGATAGAGCTGATGGAAGAAAAGATCCGAGGATTGGAGATGCAGGTGGAAACTCTGGTTGAGTTTAGAAGGGGGTTTGAGTGGATGATGGAGCAAAGACATGAGGAGGCTGAAGGGAAAAGCTCAGACTTACAGATGGAAGCAGGACCAAAGAACTCTGAGGGGAGACTGCTGGGTGAGGAAAGTGGACAGTGGAAGCATGTGATTAAGAGAACCAGGCAGAGGAAAAGATGGGCTAGTGAAGGAGAAATAGAGCTCAGGAACTGGTTTGTGGAATTGGAAAATGAAGAAGGGGCACAGCAGATGGTCACTGAAGGTGAGAGGGCAAGGAAGAAGAGAAGAGCAGCTAGTTCTATAGAAAGAGGGGAAGAGTCAATGGAGATGATAACACCAAATATGAGCCCCAGGAGGATACAGGATGGGTTACAAAGGATTGCAAGGGAGAATAGAAATCAAGAGGACTTGCAGCCAGAGGAAACGGGATAGACCAGAGAATCGCACCATCACCAGGAAAAGGCAGGTCTACATGACTGGGGATTCCTTACTGAGAAGAATGGATAGGCCTGTAACCAGAGCTGATCCAGAGAACAGAAGGGTGTGCTTTCTGCTGGGTACTAAGATACGGGATGTGGACTTGAGGCTGAAGGGGATCCTAATGGGAGCGGGAAAGAATCCACTGATTGTCCTTCATGTGGGAACAAATGATACGGCTAGATTCTCGCTGGAATGTATCAAGAGAGACTATGCCAGGCTGGGGAAGACGCTTAAGGAAATAGAGGCTCAGGTGATCTTCAGCGGGATTCTGCCTGTTCCTAGAGAAGGATAACAAAGTTGTGACAAGATTATGATGTTCAACAGATGGCTCAGACAGTGGTGCTATAAGGAGGGCTTTGGGATCTGTGTCTAGGGTTTTTGATTTCAAAAGGGCAAACGATAAAAAATTAAGGAAATTAAGGAAGTGGATTGGACTGAAGAACTTGGGGATCTAAAGGCAGAGGAGGCCTGGAATTACTTCAGGTCAAAGTTGCAGAAATTATCAGAAGCCTGCATACCAAGAAAGGGGAAAAAATTCATAGGCAGGAGTTGTAGACCAAGCTGGATGAGCAAGCATCTCAGAGAGGTGATTAAGAAAAAGCAGAAAGCCTGCAAGGAGTGGAAGATGGGTGGGA